GCAATTTATATGAATACACTGCTCAAAAAAAGTATAAATGATGAATAAATAAAAAACTATTCACTATCACTGGCCATTAGAGAAAAGCAAATTAAAACAACACTGAAATTCCATCTTACGGCGGGGTGGGGGCTATCATCAAGAAATCAAACAACAAATGCTGCCAAAGCTGCAAGGGGGAAAAGAACCCTTCTGCAATGTTAGCAGGAATGTAAACTAGTATAACTGCTATGAAAATCAGTATGGAGATTCCTCAAGAAAATAAAAATAGGAATTCCATTCAACCCAGTTATTCATCTTCTAGGTATCTTCCTGAAAGAGTTAAGATACATTTTATTACAATGACACATGCATACCCATGTACAACAGCACAACTCATATCAGCTAAATCTTGGAAGCAGCCTGTATGTCCATCAACAGATGAATGGATAAAGAAAATGTGGTGTTTATTCACAAAACACCATAAAGAAGCATTAGCTTGAGAGTCATTTATAGGAAAATGGACGTACCTTAAGGCCATAATGTTAAGTGAAATACATCAGGCACACAAGCTTAAATATCACACTGTTTCTACCATATCAGAAATCCAAAGTATAAATTAAGAGTAAAATAAAAGATATATTGGGAAACAAGGAGGTAGATCTTTTTCAAATGAGAAGGGGACCAAGATATGGTGGGGGAGGCAAGGAGACCGAAAGGGAACCAGGATATGCTATGTACATGTGCCAACTCTCCAGTTAATGCAATCATTATGTACTACAATATGTACTAATTAAAAATGGAAAAAAAATATAGTAAAATATAGTAAAAGTCATATTGCCATTAATCCCCCTCAATGTACTCCTCATATTGAACATATTTCTCCCATTGTTCTTTTCACTTTCAGAAGCAGTTCTGGAAGTTCTCTTTCTTTTATTATCAGGTGTGATCAAAAATATGGTGAATGCAGCTGCCAAGTACCATCTAACAGAAAGGCAGGCTCATAAAAACATTATGTTGTGTCCTTACCTACCCTATTCACCAGATCTGGCACCATCCAACTTCTGGGTCTTCCCCAAAATCAAAATGACCATAAAAGGTAAATATTTTTAATCAGTTTAGGACATCATACCAGCCACAACAACCTAACTAAAGACACTCATGAAAGAAGATTTCCAGAACTGCTTCCAAAAATGACAAGAACGCTGGGCTAAATGAAGCTAGGAGTATTTTGAGGGGGACTAATGGTAATGTATCTTTTACTATATAATAAATTTTTAAATTTAAGCACAGTATTTTTCATCACATCTCTTATAATGTTAAGAAATTAATTACAGCAGGGGAAAGATAGTAACTACAAAGATATATAATGGTATTACACATCTCATTTTCAGATACAAAAATAGTAATTCACAGTAAGTGAGGTATATACCAAGAATTTTCCCAGCCCATTAAGATGATCAGCAAGCTGGATGCACTAAACTGCAACACATGATAGATGCACTGAATTATAAAATAGTGTTATTAAATAATTAAATATTAATTATAATATCAATACTTAAAATTAATTATCTCTCTCCTTCCTTCCTTTTCTTTCTTTTCTTTTCTTCCCTTTTTCTGTCCATCTGTCTGTCTCTTTCTTTTTGTTTTTTTAAGACAGAGGCTTGCTATATAGTTCAGGCTACCTTGAACTTACTATGTAGCAAAGGTTGGCCTCAGACTCACAGTGACCCTCCTGCCTCAGCCTCCCAAATGCTGGGATTAAAGGTATACAAAACACCATACCCAACAAACCACAATTGTCATCATTTTTGTTGCTACTCCTATCTCGTAAGTCTTGAATTAACGCTCAATTTAATGGAAACTAGAGGTCATGATTTAGGAAAAAAATTCACAGGATAAAATCACTAACAACTCTCTTGCCAATGCACTATAAGCAGGCTACATGGATAAGAAGTACTCATTTAAGGAGAGATCTGTTGCTGGACCTGAGAGATTGGGATCAACACTTCTATAGGAAATAGAGTTGCACGAAATTCAGGCCAGAATTCAGCATTTGCAGAGTTATAAAAATGTTCAAGAAGATGACACGACTGTATTTAAATAAATGTAGATTGTTGTACATGAATAAACACAAAATTTTGGTCTTGTTTTTGGGGAAATATGGTAGGGCTCTGTATGCTAGGGCAAGTGCTGCTTCTACCAGTGAGCTCATTTCCAGCCCTCAAAGTCTACTTTTTTAAAAATTAATTTTACTGGTACTTTCAAGGTATACAATATAATGACATTCATCATTAGAAATTTGCACCTTTACATAATCCATCTTGGTTCTTATTTTTTCCCCATTTCAAAGTCTACTCTTGTAAGCAGTGTTAAAGTATTATTTATTCTGTAGGAGGAATAAAGAATAACTGATTTAACAAGTGCCAATGGTTCAGAGTTTCACTGAAATCTTTATTGAATAGGGAATTTTACTGCCCTAAAAAAGTGGCTTCAACCATTTCCCAGGAGCCATGGATCCCTACAAAGTTTCATTATGGCAAAAATCTTGTAATCTATAGGCAATTCAAACACAGATTGTTGCACCTATTATACTTATTTTTAAACCATACAGATGTGATTAACATTTTAAAAATAATTTTAAAACATTAATGGTCTCAAAGTAGTTCTGTCATTTTCTCAGTCAATACATATTTGAATATACAACTTCAATGACATGAAAGGGCCTACAAAAAAATACTCAAGTCTAAAAAACTAATATCTTATTGAAAAAAACTTAATCCAAAAAACTATTAAATGTTATTGAATCTAAAAGAAAAAAACAAAAAATAGTACAAAAAAGTAATCCTTTTGTTCCAAAAGAATGGGAACATCTGTTGTAGAGCTCTGTACATTTCACATATAACAGTCCATACAAGATCTTTCACTTTGTAAGAGAAAATTACTGTTTTCTGTGGATTAAACAGATACTTTTCTCATGCTGCTACTTATACCTAGTTGGCTGTATGGCATTAGGGAGAGAAAAGACTTAGGTCTGAGTTGACTGTTGAGTAACTATTGAACCATAAACAAAATATGTCATTTACTAGCTTTAATCTTTTCACTTAAAAAAAAAAGCTAAATCTACTTCCCCTAATCACTTCCTACTTACATTAAGAACTGTTAGAAGATAAAATCGGAATGAAAGTTAAATTATGCAGTGATATTAACTATTACTACATAGCAGAATTCATGAAGTAATGTGTGCAGAAATTTCTAACATAAAGGAACTTGAGTGCCAAGCTACAGACTTGATTTCATAGAAAATAACCATTAAATACTGATGTCACGGCCACTGTCTATAATCCCAGTACTCAAGGGGGCTAAGGCCAAAAGACCTCAAATTCAAGCTCAGCCTTGGCAACTTGGGGACTTACAGAATCCCCATCACTAAAATACACACACACACACACACACACACACACACACACACACAAACTTTAAAAAGGGCTGGGAGGTAGAACAGTGCAAAGGCCCTGGGTTCAATTTTAGTACTACCCCCCCCAAAAGATTTTATTAGCAAGGTGTGGCATTTACTACCACACCTCACTAATAAAATCTTTTTTTTTTTTTTTTTTTAGTAAATGCCTGTAGTTCCAACATTCTGGGAGGCTGAGGCAGGAGTTTGCAATTCAAGTCCAACCTGGACAAGTCAATAATTTAACAAGATCCTGCCTCAAAATAAAAAACAGAAAAAAGGACTAGGGACATAGTACAAAGGCCCTGAATTCAATCCTGTTACTAGGTGGGGGAGATGTTGTGGGAGCTGAGAAAAAGGAATATAGCAGTGTGCAAGGTTTTGGTAGGGGTGGTGTGTGTGTACGTATGTGTGAAAATCAGTGAGGTAATTATGCAAAATTACATAAAACAGAAATAACCAGAGGCTCAATAAAAGTCCAACTGAAAGACAAAAACTTGGGCTACAATAACACTGATAGTAAAAGAATAGGCTGGCTTATGCACTGCAGAAGGATTGAAAAATTACACATAACAGCGAGGGAAAAGAAAGTGCCTGAGTTGGTGTGTCCTATTCTTGTTGAAATAAGGTTAAAAGGTTGAGGGTAACAATGGGACAGATATCAGAAGGCAACAAGAGAAATAAAGGTTTTTTTACAGAGAAGAAAGACATTTGCTTTGCCTCTTATTAGTCTAGAGATGCTTATTACAGATGCACAGAGGTAGGTCATGGCAGCATATATCCCTTTGCTTTCAATTTTTATAAAAATGAGCACCAAAATTTTCTGTTCACATAAAAATTTTAGAATTCATTAACATTTAATCTTATGCCTTAAAACTATTTTCTCTATCACACAATATAGTAACTGACTTCCATCACATTCACTTATGTGGCCAAGAAAAGATCAAGCTATATTTGGTATATTCTGTTTAAACTGTCAAAAAAAAAAAAAAAAGCCAGACTTTTCTCAAAATTGCATACATTAGCACCTACCAAGTCGAATTTCGGATATATGGGAACTATTTCAAATTCTTGGTTCTATTTCCAGAATACTTCAATAGTTAGCATATTAGAGCTGTCATTAAGTTTTATCATTTTACCCAACAGATGCTACAAACCTCAAATTTTAAAAATGAAGTACTTTATTATAATAATTCTCTACAGAACAAGTGATTCTAGTAACTCATTTAACCATCTTACCAAGCCAGGAACCTGGAAGGTACCCCATAGTCTCCCTTTCTCTAGCCTCCTATTAATAATTTACCACAGTTAAAAAGCTCTGAAAAAATGTTCCTCTACCGCTATTAGGCTTTGTCTACATATTAAGCCATTAACTAAACTAGCTGTGTCTCCAATTACAATGATCGGGTTTTGGACTGATGTCTAGTGTCCAACACCTAGTAATGTACTCTGACCTCAGGGTATTATAAGGCTACAAAGACAGTATGTTGATCAAAAGTTGAAGTCACACTCCTTCCAACACAGCTCTGGCCTCTTTACCATGTTATTAAATCATTTGATCTTGAAAAAAATGTGTCTACAGTTACTTCCATGTCATCCTTGTGCAGGGGCCATATTAATCTTCTCTGTATTGTTCCAATTTTAGTATATGTGCTGCTGAAGTGAGCATGTGCCTACAGTTACTAAAAAATGCTAACTTCTCCCACAATTCAAAAGGTCTATATCTTTCTCTGCTAAACATCTATGGGTAAGAAATGATATTAAGTTCTTAGAAGAAAAGCCCTAGTCCCAATAAAGTAAAATGTTTATAGGCTCTTGACTATATTACAAATAAGACAATTTCTAAAAACCTATCCACATATTTTAATGAATTTTAAATATGCTTTTATTTAGTCAAAAATCACTAAACTTGGATTGCACTAGTCTAAAAATACAACAAAAATTTAAAAAACAAAAGAATTACCTGAGGAGAGTCAAAAGGATATCGACTACTAAATTTAAATAGAAGTTGAAATTTTTCTCCTTCATATAAGGTACCTGGTGCACCTTCCATATCTACAATCCACCTAGAAAAGAAAAGACAAATTTAAAACTTTTAACATAAAACTGACCAGGGAAAGGAGAAAAAAAGGAATCACTGAGATACCAGACACTAGGACTAGAGTTGCATATGTGTAACAGCACATTTCATCCTCCCAACAACTCTCGGAGTGGGTTTTTAATTCCCCCTGCTCTATCCCTATCTCTCATTCAGGGGCTAAAATAAGTAGACCAAGGCCAGAGAGGTAGCAAAAGGCAGAGCACAATTTTATCTCATATCTGAAAAGAAAAACCAAAAAAAAATAAAAACCGAAACTCAGGAGTGTTTACAAAGTATATGCTGCATTCCTACTAGTAGATTTATGCTCTCTTGATTTTTTTCTAAAGACTTTCTACAGTGACTGAAAAACTTTATGGATAATATCAAGCTAATCAACTGTCTTTCTGATGTCAGTGTTAGAAGCAATGAAGAGGTATCAAGAAAGACTATAAGGGTCAGGGGCTCAGTGGTTCCGGTGCTTGCTTCACAAGCACAAGGACCCAAGTTCAAATCCCCAGTACCAAAAAAAAAAAGAAAGAAAGACTACAAAGAATTATGGCTGTTGGATCTGTTTTCTCATGGGTACTGTATTTTAAAAGACTAAACAGGGGAAAGGAAGCTAAGTTGCCCTACTTAGTCCACTTCCTCTGACGGCTAAGCGCAAGGTTCTACACTGCCTTTCTTTTACCTCTTATTGTTTCAACTGTTTAACACATTCCCAGTGGCTTAAACCACCAGTGGTAAATGCATGACTGTCCTATTAGGTGGAATGGGACAGCCCCATCACGTGGCATGGGCTGCCCAACAGGGCAGTCATATATGAACAGCCCCATCATGAACGTGTTAATAAAGCCCAAAGTAGACTTCTATGACATCTGTACAAGCTTATTTTGTTCTCATTTATAACCATCACAAATATAAATATACTTTTACTCATATTCCATACACTACCCTTTGTTATTTTCTTTAAAAGAAGATGAGGACAAAGATGGAAAAGATGATATAGAGCTGCATTTAGAAGAAAAAGTAAACTAACATCATTAAGTGAGTAAGGTTATGCAAAATACACGCAGATCACAGCTCTATAATGAAAATATTTATTTTTGCATTATGGATGTCAGATGTATGTCAGGGGAATACAGGAAGCAGTCTTCTTGTTCACCCACTTGCTTGACAAATGGCAAGGTGTATGCACATGTATCAAATTCTCAATGGGTGAGTTTTACTACTTTTTGCTTTGTTATATTTTTGTGCATTTATAATTTTTTAAATTAAGTGTTTTGTTTGTTTTGATTTTTCTTGTAGAATTAGCCCAAATCAGTACAATGTCACATGAAAAGCTGCTTTTACAACTTTGAGAGGAGGTTGAAAGTGATTCTTCAGGTGATCGGCTACTGATGATGACTTGGATCATATATAAGCCAAAGAATTGGCTAAATAATTATTAATAATATAACACTTTGATATTTTAAGTAAATATTTTATAATAAAACTCATAATTAAAATAAATAGAAATATTTCTAAAAGTAAATATGGGTTTTAGATATCTTACACTCCTTGTCATGAAATTTAACCAGGTAAGAATGAGTTCCTAATTATAGGTCTTTCATGTGAATTTATTCAAGTCAGACAATTCTTTTAACTTTATACAAGTATAAACCTTTCTTATTTCAAAAACAGGAAAACAAAATAGAACATAGTATTAGAATTCTAGTCATCATAGTGTAGATTTATGAATGTATAAAATAATAAATTTGGGTCGGGGGAATGGAGCTCAGGTGTAGAGCACTAGATGTACAAGGTCCTTGGTTCAAATTCCACTAGCACAATAAATATTAAGTGCCTATTCCAAGAAATCAGCTAAAGCATACAGATCCTTAAGAGCATGGCTGTTTATTTCTAAAATGTACGTTGAATATCTTAATTGTAAAATAGATTTTCACTTCAGTATTATTGGAAAGAAAACCCTACCTATGTAAAAAAACCTAGCACATTCCTAACCTAAGACCCAATACATAATAAATCAAATACAATGCAAAAGCTGTGTACAAAAAAAAAAAAAAAAAAAACTTACTACAAGAATAGGTCAGTGGTAGAATGTTTGTGTGAGGTCCTGAGTACCACGAGCACAGCAAACAATATAATCTCTATTTCTTATAAGATAGAACCTTCGTCGAGCATGGTGGCACACGCCTGTAATCCCAGCACTAAGGAGGCTGAGGCAGGAGGATCACTGTGAATTCGAGACCAACCTGGGCTACACAGTGAGTTCCAGGTATGTCTCAACTATATAGTGAGACCCTGTCTCAAAAAACCAAAAACAAACAAATAAAATAAACAAATAAAATAGAACCTTCTTAGTCTCCAAAATTCTCTTCATCTTACTTCCTACATACTCATCTACCCACATCCACAAAACAGAGTTATAGTCCAAAGAAGTCAGAGACCTCTCTGGTGCTCTCTCATTTCTGTTTATACAGCATTTCTTTTCTTTCTTTTTTGGTTTTTTGAGACAGGGTCTCACTATGTAGTTGAGACTGACCTGGAACTCACTATGTAGCCCAGGCTGGTCTCAAACTCAATGTGATCCTCCTGCCTCAACCTCCCGTATGCTGGGATTACAGGTGTGCACCACCACACCCAGCTCTATACAGCAATTTCTAAGACACGTGACACACTATAAATTTACTTGCAATCTACACAAGCAAAACTTTTAAATAATAGCTAAGTAAAAATAAATAAAATCTAAGTAAATATGTCATTTATCATGTAAAATCTGCATACGGTAGGTTCAAGGCATAATTTTCAACATTGTACATAATTTTTTAAATTTCACTAATTAAAAAATGACATGTTCATTGTAAAAAAATTTAGAACCACATAAAGATAACCACTGTTAAAAAGTTTTTTGGGATAAATTTCATTCTAATCATTTGCACTTTCTTACATCACTGATACCCAAAATAGAAATCCAGTATTTTATTATGTTTATTACTAAATTATATACATATCCAAACAGGAGACATGAACATGTTACTCTCTCCATCAGTCTCAGTCCTTACATTCCTGTTGAGTACCTATTAGTCTGTAATTCTAACGCTTAAAATTAGAATTTGGTATTTTTTCATATATCCTACTTCCTAATCAAAGACATCTATTCTGCTTTAAAGGAAAACTTATCTGAGCAGATTAAGAAAGGATACAAACCAACATGACGCTTCTAAGGGATTTTCAAAAGTTATTACACAAAATTTTTGCCTTACATGCTGACTCTAGACTACAGCTCACATGATGCCATTTCACTGCACTACCCTGATAAACTCTATTACTAACACTTATATTGCTTACAAATTATACCTAGAATTAGTAGCAGTATAATGAGTATAGTTGTGAGTCAATTTTTTTTCTATATCTCTATTCCTTTTTTAGAAGGGGAAAGGGGTGGTATATTTACTACGTCAAGTGATACAGTAGTCATATTTTTTAGAAGTTTTTTTAGTGTTTTATTCTGTTTGTTTTGGTGGTATGGATTGAATCCAAGTCCTCACAAATCATGAGCATATGCCAAACAAAAAAAGTTTAAATGCTGTCCTCTTAAAACATTTTAAATCGCTTACTAACACTCATAGAGCTTGGCTAACATGTGCAAGGCCCTAGACTCAATCCCCAGAATCCCAAATGAAAAAACAGAAGTTTTACAAATTATGGAACAAAACATATGACATAATTAAGTAAAACAAAACTGATATGTACTTGTACATAAGTACAAAGAATTAGATCTGTTTGCTTTATTGACTTATTGGTTAAGAAAATAGAAATATAAAAATAATTCAGTATTTCTAAAAATAAGTATATTATGCCAGCAATAAAGAAGTACTTTAAAAATTAAATACTTACTGTGTGATAGAATTTTGAACACTCTTTTCATTTAAAGTCATCCCAGGAGGTGGGTCATTCTGCAAAGCCAACAGTTCTTTCTGTAGTCGTTTCTGGAAAAGATCATCAACAATTAATTTGTATTTTTTATTTTTTAACTATATATCTTTCCAATTATACAGTCTTAAACTACTGATGAAATTTCCTCCAAATACTTTTTACTTTACAAGCCCCCTATATCTTATATTCCTAATTCTCAAAATTTAAATAGTCTGTCCTACAATTCCAAAATCTAACGTCAGACTGTTTCAATACTGATGCAAAGTATGAAAAAATAGCCAGTTACCTAAAAAACATCAGATTTTAAGACTTTACAGCTACCTCGTATGTCATAAGGTATGAATAGTCCAGATTAAATGTGATTAAGTTTTAACAGTGCTTCAGTTGTTGTTTTCCAATTATAAAAACCACAGTTCTCCATAATCCTGAAAGAATGTGTCACTTCAGACACAGCTTTCCAGAGAAACTGTAAGTAACCCTTTATGCTAAAATCTTTCTGAAGTTTTAAAAAATAATGTTAATGTACATTCTAATAGTCATACTTATTTTTTTAACTAGAATCATTTGCACATCTTTAAAGAGTACTGTTATGATGTATTTATTGTAAAACATCAGAACATCACAGTAGAGGCAAACCTATGCCATGCATGACATAGCGGGCTATGTGTTACCACTGAAATTCTAAAAGATCTGCCATCCCTGGAATGTAACATATCAGGCCTGGGATGTAAAGTTACTTTTCCACACAGATAACTTTAAGTGCCTTTGTACTTTGTATTCATATTTGTACAGTATAGTTATATCAGTGAACTTGGTTTTCACTGTATAATAAAGCAAAACAAAAATTACACCAACCCCTAATTTATAGGCTTAAAAGTTTGCTTTTAAACCCATAAATTAAAATAACTGGGGTAGAGCTGGGAGTGTAGCTCAGTGATAAAGTACAAAGCCATGATTCAACCCCAAGCACTGCAAAAAACAACAACCAATGTTACTGCACGCAAGAGTAAAAATATTCTAAAATCCTAATTCTGGGAGTAACTAAAACAAGCACGCTTATCTGCTCAGAATTCAAGAGTCCTCTTCTTAAAAACTGGCTTCTGCTTTTTTGGACAGTGAAATATAATGACAATGTCTCTAGGTATTTTCAATTCATGGAATCTTTGAATAAGCTTATAGCTATTTCAATATCACTACTGTTTAGGTTAAAGAAAACTTATCAAACAGCACCCCCCCACCCACACACAAGCACTGCTATATCCATCAAGATGAATTAAACTTAAAATGTTATTAAACAAAACAAGCAAATCAAGTACACTAGTATGATCTGATATTCAAAATCAAACAGCAATGCATCATTCAAAGTAAATCTATAAAGAAAAATAAAGGTTAGGGCCGGGGATTTAGCTCAGTAGTTCCACTGCCTGCCTAGAAAGCACAAGGACGCAAGTTTGATCCCTAGTACCAAAAAAAGAAAAAAAGAAACAGAAAGGTTAACAAATATAAAGGGCAACAATTTTCTGTAGAGAAAAAGTAGTGAGAAGCAATCAGAAACACCGGCCCAAAGTCTTCAAGGCTAATGGTAACTTTTATTTTTTAAGCAAGTAAACATTTCCTTAGACCCCTTGGTTTCATTTTGAGACAAGGTCTCCCTATGCAGTTTCAGGCTGGCCTTGTACTGACTCACTGTGTAGCCCAGGCTGGCCTCAGACTCAGTGATACTACTGCCTCTGCCTCCAAAGTGCTGCAATTACAGGGGTGTGTGCCATGTCCAGCTCTTTAGGCCACTCTTAAATTTAGTTGTGAAAGGAGGGAGAGCAGTAGGGAATCATGTGCAGAAGTGTGGTGAGAAGGCATTTGTTAGGGAAAGACATGTCTGACACAGTGGCCACCATCTCAGACATTGGGAAGACTGAGGCATGAAGGTGACAAATTTAATCTCAGCCTGTACAATTGACCCTGAAGGCCTGAAGGGCTGGGGATGTAGCAAGGGATCCCTGGGTTCAATTCCCAGTACCCCTCAAAAAAGGATAAACTTAAGAATATGTAAATACTGACAGAAGGATAAAGGAAGATGAAAAATGACTAGTAAAATATCAAAAGATCAATCAGATCAGAATATAAGATTACTCACTTTACATGGGATTGTGTTTTCAATGATAAATACTGTATCTAAATAGCGGGGGGAACATGAGCCAAAATATTTTAAAATGAAGACTGCCCCTTCGTTTCACTATAGTTATCTCAGGGCAGTGATTTTTCTTTTTACTAATTTGTGTTTTCTAATATTTCAAAAAGAAACATACTTTTTTTTTTTCCTTCCAAAGAAGAAAAAGCCTTTCTGAGATTAGCGCAGCAGATGTACTAGAAAAGTTAGGCCTGAAACAAAGACCAGAAAGCCAACCTAAAAACAACTAAAAAAAAAAAAAAAAAAAAAAAAA